ATCAAAAGCCGTATATGAATTTAAGCCAGTTTNTGTTACATATTCGGTGATATATCCAACAACCGCCTTTATTGCTGTACCTGACATCAAGCTAGTAGTATCTGTGTTGCAGCGAAGAAGATATGTTAGCTCAGGTGTAAATGTATTGAGCCACATTTCACCCTTCTTTATTTTCAATGCACCGCATCAACCATTGTCTCCTCTACAATCTCACGTGGAAAGCGTGCCTTACATTGGCCTTGTGCATTTAGACACCCTTTCCGCTTCACTTTTGTGGGGTCTTCCCCATCTATCTCAGGTCTGCGGCACCCATGATGATTTGATCTAGACAAAATATCCTCTGTTGTCGCATGAAAATTACCCCACCATACTTTAAGATTAGTGCATCTTAAACATTTGTTGCACCCTCTATTCTTGCAGAGAGGAGGTGGAGGTATAGGCATAGTATGGGTTGGATTTTTGTATTCTGGATCGTTTTTCTGAGCATCTTGACATTGAGCTTGAATATCTTCAAAGGATCCTCCATGAAGTTCTCCTTTATGTACTGATTCAAGATATTCAACAATACATTTTTGAAAGTCAGATGAAGGATCCATAATTCGATCTCGTATGTCTTGAGGAGATAAGGCACCTTTTATCCACAAAAGCAGGTGAAGGTGCAGTGTTAACCTCCCTTGTTGTTCAACTGTTCCATAGTATGCATCTGTTTCTCCATATAGTCCAGCGTGATTACTTCCAACACCTAGTACATGTTTAATAAAATTTTCACAGATAAAATGAAAAAAGCGTGCAGCAGCTACAGGATTCTTTGCAATTAATGTAGAACATTCTGGTGAAAAAGTTAATTCAGGTCTGAATTCTGTGTGGTGTCAGCAAAATAAAGACATATAGGATGTTTGCCATCTGCTGGAGAAAGTGTAATGAACCAAGAGGGAGCACCAATATATGATATAAGTGACCAGACTTCATTACGCATGTACTTCTTTGATGTTGTTGAACCTTGCACATGACCTCCAACAGAATCCAGATCCTTTAACAATTGAAAGCATTCTTTTTCTTGCTCAGTTTCTGGTTTTACTCATTCATCTGAAGCAAGTCTTTTGTTTATGCTAGATATAACTTGCATATCAAGGTTAAGCAAGCGTTCAGTTACTGAATCAAATGAGGACTTTTTGGTTGTAAGATAACCTCCAGTCGTACTTTGTTGTATTTGTTCATGATTGAATGCAATAAGTGGAAAATGTGGATCCATTTGGAATCACTTATCATGATACATTAACAGTAAACGCTTGTGGGCCATAGTAGATATGTTATGGGGTATCATATCATTTCCGATACCTCCAAGGCCATAAGGAAATAGCCATGGTAGCATAGCAGGAAATAGTTGAGGGTTATTATAAATGGAGTTGGGTTGTTGTGAATGGCCTGCAAACATGATTTTTTTGTTAGATGTCAAATGCTTCAGTGCTCGAGCCTTTATTGCCTCCAAAGACATGGTAGAATACTCTTCTCCAGTCAGCCCTTGAACTACAAAAGTACAAGGACCCTCTTCGGTACCTATCTCTTCTTCATTATCATGAACGCTTGTAGCCTCTCGCTCCCTATTTATTATTGATTGATGATAGTCAATTACAACTGGTGCATCACTCAAAGGGTACTGGCTCAAATTCTCCTGTGATATTCCAATGTCAAAGTAGTCAGAATGGTTCAATTTTAACCACTCAAGTGCTTTTGAAATCTGCTTTCGACGGACCAGCAATGGTGTACATTGAAGGTCTTTTTTGGTAGGTTGACAAGGTCCAGTAAACATAACAGCCAAGACTTCATCAAGTTCTTCAAGAGGAGGAGGAAGAGTGTCATAAATCTTTGCAACAGGATTTTGGAAAGTTATTGCATTTGCATGCATCTTGTACCGTCCAGAGGCTACTTTGATTATACAGCGATTGTGGCGAACACGTGATATGAGCAGCTGTTCAACGTAAGTTAAGCAGGCAAGCTCATCAGGAATTTTACCAAGCCAAAAACCATTACAAAGTGCATTAGCAGGTATTTTTCCTTTGTCTAGACTTTTATTGCAAGTATTGCATATATATTTACAGTCATCATCAATCACAGGCCCTGAGATTTCATGGATTTCATCATGTTCAGATTTTCTTTCTATTCGGGAAACCCCTTCTCGAATCAAGGGTTCCAAGTTACTTGAGGTATCAGATCACTTTAACATGTCTGATAATTTTGTTAGCTGACCACAAACTGCGCATCCAGATTCAAGAAGTTTGGAAGGGAGTGTGTCTTCACAGAATCCACTAATTATTTTATGAATTAATTTCTTAGAGGGTGGTTTAGGTGGGAAATTAGTGATTTTTGATGTCTGATAAGTAGACTTATTCTCTTTACTTCTCTTAATTTTATATGTTGGACCTTTTAAAAACTTAATATACTTTTTTTTAATGATTTTTTTCTTGTCTGCTTTACTGAGACCCTTGTACCACTTAGCTTGACGTTCGGAAGATGTCAAAGCTGGTTTTTCTGGAGCAAACAATGTATAAAATTGAGAACATCGTGAGGAACACATATGTGCTGATAAAACCTCCAAGACATCTGTAACTGGAGATTTGCTTGATATTGTAACATTGTGCATCTTTGCAATGGATTTCGCTTGAACCAATGATATTTTTCCCTTTAATAATTCCAATGGCATATAACATATAAGCAGTTCAGGGTTTTTACGTAACTCAGCCTGAGCAGCTTGAAGCACAAACTGGCCAATGTATTTATAATTAACCGAGGTTGCATTCTGTAGCTCTAGACTGTATGGAGTGATGTAATTTTTTATGTCACTCAAGTTTGTGCTAATCTTTCCACCCCCATATTGAATGGAAGGCACAACTGCCATTGTTGCTTGACAAGGGCACCCATACCCATACCAATGTTTAATAGAATGAAGGTAAGGTTCATTTATGGTGGAGACTTGGATAGCTGAAACTCTATTTGTCAACAATAGTTCATAGCCATACCAGTTGGAGATGGATGAGAAAGAGATAAATGTATAGGCCATTGTATATTGAATTATTTTTGAAATAAGAATAAAAGAGGACAAATGCACAACAAATCGATGTTGAACAAATAGTGCAGGTAGTGAAAATGAGAGATGCTCTTGAAACAAGCGAAGTTTATTTGCATATACATGACGGAAAGTACAGTGTCTTGAAAACCGAAGTGCAAGCAAAATGCAGAGCTTAATGGCATAGTTAACAGACAAGGAATATACAATTGCACTATAGTATACCAAGGCTGGTATTTGACTGCACAGGCATTCTAACGTGAAACCAAATAGTGAATGAATAATGCAAGTTACTTTTACTTTTAGTTCTCGAAATTCATCAGCAATGACAGAGTTTGTCATAGCCTGAACATATATTTCCCAATCTCTCTGCATAGTTAAGTGTATCTCAATGTCGTTGACATAGTCAACATGTGCCAGCAGGCTCGGATTGTTTCCAATCTCTATTATGGGTGCATGACGGCTTGGGTTGTTTCCAACCGCTATCAATCCTTGGCAAATTGCTTTGGATTCTATGTTTGTATCAATGGGATAGATTGTAAGGAGCAGAGGGATGATGGTAAGTAGCAACAGAGTCCACCGATATGGATGCATAGTCGATGGAGGACAAAGAATATTGGCAGTCGTTGTTCAAATATTTGAAAGTTGAACAATCACATGACTTAAATTTACACGGACATGTGATTCAGCAATAGCACTCAGTGCATCACACTTAGCTCAACTTGTCTAGAGAAAGATCTGTGAGGAAGTACACAAATTTATTATTCATAACTCTTGCTCATTATCTGAGCCACTTTCAGATGCTCTAGACCCATCATTGTCTGTTTCTGTGTAGTTGCTTCTTGAGAACATTAGAGTCAAAAGTATAAATTGAATATTGAAATTCACCTTGCCAAGTCCTCCACATTAATTTCACAATGTGAAAGTATTACACTATCTGTTTGGATAGAAATCTGTGTAATAGAGGGCATTGTACTGCACACATAGTTTGCAAAGGAAGTTCGACTGCTACTATGATCATCGAGTTTGACGATACCCAATGTTGTTAATCGGGGGTAAGTTGATGTTGGAGGAGATTGCAGCTGAATATCAGCAGGATGAAAAAATGGAATCTTTAATGACTCCAATTGTGGGCAGAGTTCCAGAAGTCACATTACTCCTCGGGTTGAGGCTGATACAGGAACAGGAATTCCATTTCCGGGGATCAGATGCAAAGTTTCAAGAGATGGCCAGGTCTGGCCAATAGTTAAGAGGAAATGATCATGTAGCATTGTGAAGGGAAGTTCCACATCTATGATCAGACAGCGGAGTGGAAATGACACAAGATGCTTTCTGAGTTTCAGGGCTGAAAATGGGGCATAGTCACCCTCATTTTCAAGGAAGTACTCATCCATAGGTGTACCAAGAGGGTCTGCCCAATAACATATGATGAGGTTGTGAAATGAAGCAGAAGAGCATATCTGCTTTATCTTCATCAATGTTCTTTCAATTGTTTGAGGAAATGGTGGTGCATCTGTATACTGCACAGAGAAAGAAACAAGGGAATATGTCAATGAAATGTAGTCAAAGGACTTGAGAGAAATGTATTTGGCTGCAGTCTCCACCTTGAAGTGCAGGAGTGCTAGCAAATCCAGATGGTAATCAGGCCGCAGTTTATAAATGTCAACATTTTCTGGAGCTCGGACAGTAAGCTCCTGAAGACATGGAAATGCTGGAAAATATAAGTGGATAGGTTGACCATCACACAAGATATTGAGGCTCCTAAGCCTAGTTATGAGTCCTTACGAGTTTACGAGTAAGACTCATTCTTTATCAACTGAGGACTTAGACAAATTTTTCATTGATTGATTCATTCATTGATTTACCTTTCATCACCGCGGGAACCTTTTCTCTTAAGGAGAGAAGCAGCCATAAAATCAGGAAAAATGGCAAATAAATTGGCCAAAAATGTGTAGAAAATCAGAATATTGCTTAGTAAGTTGGAGAGGCTGTGTTCAGGGTTCAGGGTCCATATCCAAATATAGAAAGCTGTCTGAAAAATGGAAACAGATAGGTTGAGAAGCAGTGCAAAATAAGTGAAAAATAAGCATGGTATTCACCATTGCCATGATCATGAATGGGCTGTGTTCAGGGTTCAGGGTCCATCTCTAAAAATAGAACAAAGCCAGATAGATTGTATAACATGATTACAAAATATGCCAAAAAAAGGAAGAAAAATCGGAATGATATTTGCTGTTGTCATGATATTGAAGGGGCTGTGTTCAGGGTCCATATCTAAATATAGACAGAAAAAAAAACAACTCAGAGAAAACAGCTGGAAAATGAGGAAAAAGTGAAGAAACTTGTACACAATAATTTAGCTATATGTGGGCAGATTCCCATATTTGGAAGTGTATCCTGGACCCTGAATACAGCCTCTCCAATAGTATAGCAACATTAAATATCAGAAATGTGATTATATCATCTGACTAGCCTTCTTTCTTATGCAGATATTGGTCAAAAGACATGACTATTTTCAAAAAGTGTCCAATTTTTTCAGTATTTTGTGTTTTTCTCAATAAGGAATGATCTGTGTGACATTATTTATATATATTTGTAAAGCTAAGCAAAGGGGCTACAATTCTTGTTAATAAAGCTAAGTGAGAGGCTGTGTTTCTGGTACCGTGGGAAAATTGACCTGAAAAGGAAATTAGGGACAGTTTTATAGAGCATGCTGTTATATTTCTCAATGTGGTCACAAAATGTGACTAGCTATTTTCTTTCCTGAGATATATGCAAAGACACCTATTTATTCATGTTTTTATATATTTTTCTCAATAAGAAATCATCCTGGTCATATGATTTCAGTACATTTAGAAATGTATGACATGGGGCTATAATTCATGTACTGTGGGAAAAAGTTCCCAAATAAGGAATGTGGACATGCCCTAAACTTCCTGGGTACTTCAAAGCTTCTGGTAAATAATAGTAAACTTTCCATTTTGAACTTGAACCACCATCATCTTGCTTTGCTGGCACCTTGTTCACTCCATTCTGAGTCAACCACTCATGCTACTGCTACAATTCTTTTTGCTATGGCTTCTAGGCCTTCTCTGCTACACTTCTATGCCCTCTGTATTCTCTTCCAACACCTGGAACATGCTCAGATCTGGAAATACTGGTGTTAGCTCTGAACTTGGTCATTTTTGGCCATGTAAGCCTATTTCTATATTTCTGTAGGTACTCTGCTAATCTTTCTATATTCTAGATCAACAAACTCCCTGTTCTCTGGCTATTCTGAGCCCAGAAGGTATGTAACTTGCCCTTTTTAGTGCATATTCTCAAATTTAATATATTTAACCCAGAAAACACATCATTGGCTTTCTGCCAGTTAAATCCTATGGATTTCTATGCCACCTCTTCCTTAAATTATGGTAAGACCTTAGCTTGATCATATGTAACTCAGGACTGAGCAATCTTCTAGATCTTTTACACTGGGATCAAGGAAGTTTTGGCAACTACCTTGATTCCAGTGAGGTTGATTACAACCCTAGCCCTTGGGCACCCTCTATAGTGATTGATCTCAATCCGAGCCCTTTGGCAGCCAACCATTTGGTTGAGCCTCTTCCATTCAACATGGTTGAGAGAAAAATACATAAATTATATACTCATCCATTTGTGGTTGAGAGGCAAGGCCTTTTGGCACTCTATACTCATCCATTTATGGTTGAGAGGCATGGCCTTTTGGCATTCAATACTCTTCCATTTATGGTTGAGGGAACAGACATAGCTTACCCAAATATGAGATATGATGATATATATAGGCATACATCAGGAGTATCACCCTTACACTGGAATGCACAAAGCTCATGGTCAGAAACTTTGATTTTGAAAAATGATGGCTTTTCTACTTGTGTTGAACTTAGCCCTGAGCTATGTAAAAGTGACTACACATTTTCTGAATATTTAGATTTAAAACTTCATAAGTTGTGGTTGCATCTAAGATCTTCTCCACTCTTGGAATTATATGTTAGAGCTTTTTTGACTCTTCTCAGATTGTTTACCATCATTTCTCAAAGAGATCTGGTTGCAGTAAAATGCCAGGAACTTGATTTGAAATTGAAAAGAAATATATTGAGATCTCATGACTTTGCTACTCTTATGAAAAGAATTGGTGGATGCTCTACTATTTTAAACTTTGCAAATTACATTGTGTATTTGATAATATTCCACCATGTCTCAGCTTTGCAGTATTTCAAGTTCTCAACAAAAATCACAAAAAATTTGTGTATCATGATATTTGCTTTATCTGTAGTATTCTTTTTATGAGTCCTTACGAGTTTACAAGTAAGACTCATTCTTTATCAACTGAGGACTTAGGCAAATTTTTCATTGATTCATTGATTCATTTACCTTTCATCACTGTGGGAACCTTTTCCCTTAAACAGAAAAGCAGCCATAAAATCAGGAAAAATGGTAAAAGAAATCAGCAAAAAATATGTAAAAATCAGAATATTGCTTAGTAAGGTGGGGAGGCTTTGTTCAGGGTTCAGGGTCAATATCTAAATATAGAAACCACCTAAAAGTTGCCAGAAAATCTGAAAAAAATACCCCAAAATTAAGAGTGATCTTCTCTGTTGCCATGGTGTTGAAGGGGCTGTGTCCAGTATTCAGGGTCCATATCCAAATATGGAAATCAAGACAACCATGTAAAAATATTGTCATATCATGCAATGTGACTATATTTTGAGACCAGCTTTCTTGCTCTTTGAGATATTGGTCAAAAATGCATGACAATTTCCAAAAAGTGTCCAATTTTTTCAGTATTTTGTGTTTTTCTCAATGAGGAATGGTCTGCATGACATTATTTATATATATCTATAAAGGTAAGGAAAGGGGCTACAATTGTTGTTTATGGAGCTAAGTGAGAGGCTGTGTTTCTGATACCGTGGGAATTTTAACCCAAAAAAGGAAATTCATCACAAATATATAGAGCATGCTATTATAGGTCACAAAATATAACTAACCATCCTCTTTCCTGAGATATATGCAAACAGGACTGTGGGAATATTTTACCATAAACAGAAAAATAGTTATAAAATTGGGAAAATTTGCTATAAAAAGAAAGAAAAAAGAAGAAAAGAAAAGAATAGCACACATTGTTGCTATGATATTGATGGCTAGGCTCAGAGCTCAGGGTCTATTTGCAAATATAGAACAAAACTCAGAAAATCATAAAGTGATTACATGACCAATTTCCTAATATTAAATTTAGAGTCCACAGAAAGGACTCATACATGCCATGCAAAGCACTGGCCCACACCCACAAGTTTCTTTAGGTGCCCAGAGATGCTGTCCGGTTCTCCTTCGAGAAATGTTGGTTGTAGTTCACGTATGGCGGTGATCACTGGCGGGTTGATGGTGGATTTCCTCTGTGAGTTGTTTGTTACGATTATTCGTTGATCCTGCTTATGACTTCTTTTGTCCTTCGAGAAGTCGTGATGTTCAGCCAAGTACGCTAGGAAGTTTTCGACTTCTCGGCCGTAACAGGCTCCTAATATTTCAAAGTCATTGGCTGTCCAAAATTCATCCGCCTTACCAACGGGACCCCATTTTGGCAGGGGAGGAAAACCTTCTCCATTAAGTATTAGGTCCTCCTCAGCTTCGCTTCGTCGGTCCTTGAGTCGACGATTTAGATTAACCAGAATGATCTTCTGTAAGGCAAACCCAGATTGATTAGCTTCATCGTTGAAGTAATATAAATTCGATAACAACTCCTTTAAAATATCCATTTCCTCTTTGAACAGATCCTTCCTAGTCTTCCGGGACATGACCTTTCCATAAGAACTATAAATCGGACGACGTAAAGCGGATTCTCCTAACTGTAGTGCTTGGTGGTGACGACTGGCGAGCGCAAAGATTTTTTCTGATCTGTCGAATCCTGTGTCGGTAATAGATTCCCTGAAGGAGGAGAAAGGCATGCAAGCCGGAAAATTTACTAGTACCTCCCTGTACGATCCTCAATCGGGGAACTCCTCAGAGGAGAAAGGCGCTCCTAATTTGACGAGGTCTTCAATGTCAGGGTTCTTGGGCTCATTTGTATCCGGAATAGGCGTCTGCTGATTCCGTTCCTGAGCTGTTTGGAAAGAAGACGTTTCGGGGATATCCAATCCTTCAGGCATATCAGGCGTACCTGGCGTAAATGTGTTCTGTGTATTAGTTTCAAGCGCTACTTCTTTCCCGCGAGGCGCGTTTGTTGTTCCCGAAGTGGCAACATTGCTTGTTCCTTTCACCATACCACTTGATTGCGAGTTATTGGTCTTTCTCCCCGAACCAGATGATTTCTTTGTACTGTCCATTGATCAATCGCTTTGAAATATCGAAAGATGATCTGACGTAAAGAATATCGAGAGATGATCTGGCGTAAGGAATAGGATGGGTAATGTGGGTGCAACGTGTTCCGCCGGTGATGGAAGTTGTTGTTTTTTACCGAGATCTTGAGATCTTGATATCGATGACGTCAATACTTACACAATCGTAGGGAAAGTTCCCAGTGTGTCCACCAATGTTAGAGTTCATAGACTCGCGCGTTGGTGTATTCCTGTGAATACAGAAGTGTCAGTTATAGTAATAGAAGATAAACGCACGTGCTTATTACTTGAACATGAAGATGAGTCTGAGATCAGAGTTCGAGCGTGATGTTATCCCTAGATCACGTGAGTAACACCGTGAACGATAGACAAAGGGACGCTGTCAATCTGAAGCGTTAGTCCTGGGACGTTAACAGTTCGGATCAAGTAGTTGATAGCTTTAATGCTTTATCAAGTACTTCTTAGACAGCTAACTAAGTCCTTTATTCAAGATCTTTAAGTCACACAGATATGGGGTAAAGTAAGTATGAATTGCTATTCTAGTTTACAAGCATATTATATACTGATCCGTTATTCTAGAGTCTATTGGAAGGTTACAGAACCTTCCGTGAGGCTCGAGTTTTTACTATAATGGTTACTGATTCTGGAAGCGCTGGTGTTGTTTGGCAAGCCTGTGTTTGGTAAGTCCATGTTTGTTGAGTTTGTGTTTGCCAAATAACGCGCCGTGTTTACACAAATGAAACGCGTACGCGCTACGCAAATCTTTGTACATTTATATACAAGGTTTGAAGGTTAAGTTGAGAGTAAGGAAGTGTGTTAGGAGGTAATGAGATGAAAGGGCATAAGTTGAGTAGTGGATGTGATAAGAGGGCAGCAGACAGGTACTATAACACAGACATGAAGACAGGAAATGCTTACCTGCTGCACGTGTCGCAAAGGTCAGGGTGCTATCTGCAAGCTGAACTCTCACAGACTCTCTCTTAAAAGTCATGCATAAAACAGCGACCATACGCTCATACTCATAAGCAAGAAGTTTTGCGGTGACAAATTTGACCTCTTTGTCTCCGCGTTGACGAGGTGAAATGAGCTGGTCATCAACAATGATTCCAAGCGTAACACACAAGGCAGGTGTCTTGCGATCCCGTATGAACACGAGAGGCCCACCCTTTGTTTGACCGGATGTCTTCTTGGCGATGAGAAGTGATGGATCAATGCGAGAAAGGTTGACAATATTGGACATATAGTCCTTCTCAAACACAACCAATCCTTTAATGTACCTGTAAATCAGATGCAAATATGAGTCTCTCAGTTAGAGAAAATCCAAAAGAAGACATACTTCAGATTGATATTGGGGTAGACACCTCCAATGCTAGAGAAGAGGATCATCCCATTTCCATCATCATCTTCTTGGTCGTTGTTGTCCTTCCATGAAATAAATTTCAAGCCGCTAGATTTATAAGGTTCAAGTAAGATGTATGAGGACGCATTATACTTATTGATAACTTGCCTAGGCAGCTTGGTCAACTTCTTATATGTCTCCTTAAGAAGAGGGTCGACAAGATCAGACGCGGCAACTCCACATTTAGACAACTTCGGATAACTTGGGTTGCAAATAAGACAAAGTTCAAGTAAAAGAATAGAAATAATTGCCTAGGGGAAGGATCATGATCAATGTCTTCTAAATAAACGGTCTTTTCACTGATAATGGGTTAACGTGGGTTGAAAGTAAAAAAAAATCAATAAAGCACAAACTCGTCATCTGTCTTGTCACCATCGAACATGACCTCATCCTTGTCAAAGACATCTGGAGCAGTTTTCTTTTTCTTCAACTTTTCAATGCTCACTTTTGTCTTCAACCTGATTAAAATTGAACATGGGCACTGAATAACTTCAAAAAATAAGTCAAGCTTACACAGAAGTGTCGAAGATCACTTGACGACCTTTATTTCTAAGGTGAAAAGCAAATGAAGTTAAATCTGGTTGCAATCTAACAGAATAAAACCCACTTTTTTCCTGTTGGCGTTGGAGAATCATGACCAGATTCGCTAAACAACATAAGGTTATGAGATTGCCACATAGAAATAGCATGGAAAATTACCTTGGGTCATCATCGCTGACTACAGATTCCGGTTCATTATCATTGTTAGAAGCAGTGCTAGAGCGAGGATACAATCAATAATTTTATATGGCTACAAGGACAAAAGTTGACGTAGACTTCACTCTTCTTAGTGGAAGCCACTTTGCTAGGAGAGGTCACCTTGTTACTCACAGCCAGAGTTGTCTTGGCCTTGGTGGGAGTCTTTGTCTTGTTAGCCACCTTGGCCTTCGCTGGAGTGTTTTTGGATGGAGTGGCAGGAGGATTCTTAGTCGTAGAAGGGGCTACCCTAGGTTTCTTTGGACTGTCATGTATGGGGCTTTGAAATTTGATATGAGACACAAAAAATCATAATGAGATGAAATTGAACATACCTCGCAACGAAAGATGCCTCTGAATCAGACGCAGTGACCTCATTGATTGTTCTCTTTTTCCCTCTGAACACAATGGTTAGATTTTACTGATATAAAAATTGATAACAAACTTTGATGGGGTAGGTGTAGCAGTAATCTTGCGGGGTCTTCCACATTTGCGTGGGGTGGAGGGTACCTCCACAATCTCTGGCTCACTCATACTAAACAAAAAATGGAGTTAAATGCATCAAATATAAGTAAAAATGAGTGACGCACACAACCTCTTCTTCCTCTTCATCGTTGTCATTGTCCTCTCCGTCTTCCTCATCAGACGAACTTGGATAAAGTTTGGTGAGCAAACTGAAAATAAGGAAAGCGCAGCCTAGAAACATACCCCTCCTCTTCATAAGTCTCATTTCCATCCGACTCATCAGAGTCGTTGATGAACTCCGTAGAAACCACAGCCTTCTTGCGACGAGTAGAAACCATGAAGTCAAAGTGAAGAAGGAAAAGTAAGTAAATGCACAAGGAGGAGTGAAAATCAATCCTCATTTATATGACACAGAATTTAATTTGTATATAAAGGATATAGATGAAACAAAGAAGGATATCAAGGAGGTGGGGACCCGAAACCCTGAATTTGTAAAAACGCCAGAAGTGCTAGACCCTGTAATAAGAGAATCTCTGAGGGAAGCGTAGAATGTGCATTAGATCGAGTCCAAGACTGTTTAAAAGATCGAAAGGGGTGTGAAAAACAAGGGTATTAGAGAAACTATACCATATTTGTACTTCAAGGTGCCTGCAATGATAGTGCCACTAAACTTATAATCTGAAAATCCGTAAACTGTGTACGAGGATGAAAGCATTTTTTTGGATGCAAACAATTATAAATAATGTGACACACAATCTATCTACAACACATAATCGGCTGGGAGGCTAGACACTAGGCTAGGGAGTTTAACGCCGTCACCAGCACATCTACAGCCACCGACACACCATGAGATAAGCTTTGGAGTAACCACACTCCAGCGGATCGGATTTTCTACTACTTTGGGCATGACAGGAGTGATGGGCATGGCGAGCGTCAAAGTAGGAAGAGGTGAAAGCGGTCTGAAGGGGAAGAAGGCGCATCCTGAATCAGTGGAAGTCCTCAGGGTAAAGCTGCAAGAAGGATCCTCTCCACAGGTATGGTCCTTGATCGCTGCTAGATCACGGATAAAGGTAACCCCAACTCTCGATTTATACTTTTTAACGAGAAGTTCCATCAACTCCCAAGGCAATGCTGTAACTGGTACTGAAATTCCAAAGTGAACGAGAATGGTATGTGCCTCATCCTGGGGCAAAGATGATCTGTTTCTCACTGCACGAAAGAGTTTGGCGGTGGGCAGGGATAAACTGAAAGGTAGCAAGCTGATTTTACGGGCTTTTAGATCAGCATAAGCAGTGAAAATTCCTCGCCCAGTTATAGCGTTCATGGTAATGGATGCACCAGAATGGAATAGGGCCTCCAAGGGTGACGTGGATTTGGTGGCGATAATGTTGACATGAATGAGGGGATGGAAATTGGAAGTGTACCATTCAACGTGAGTGATAGCAGGATTCAAATCATAGATTGGCAAGTGACCGCCAACAGATTTGAACCTGGATAAAATGCGCTTGGCCAAGGTTTCAGCATGAGCTTCTGGTACATATATATCTAGATCATTTGGGGCAAAACTGTCGACATTTGCCAGCACTGCAAGAAGGGCAACAGACCCCCCAACAAACGCACCACAGGTCTCCATGCCTTCCAGAAGCTTGTGTGGATCAATTGAAAATGAGGTTAGAATGCCCTCAATTCGTGTCGTGATATATGCATTAACTGCACTTGTGTAAGAGGGCCATTGCAAGCATGGCAGATACGAGTCCTTTTTATATTCAGGAAGCCACAATGCAGCACCACAGCATTCACATTTTTGATTATTTAGGAAACTGGTCATGTGACCACCTCCTGAAAGCCCATCAGATCTATACCCATTATATATATATATTATTGCTATTTTTTATTGGACAAATTGTATATTTCCATGTATATAAAATACTGGACCTTACAGAGAGTCCCTACCTTGAAAGCAACAATAAGTACTATGCTCCATTTTTCACTAATTTTTTCCAGTCCTTTATAGCCATTTTTAACTAGATTATTATGTATGGAATTTTCTTCTGGACCCTGAACATGCTCCCCAGTATTGCACAAACAGTGAGCATCTTCCTTCAATTTCTTTCTGATTTTTCTACTATTATATTGCCATTTTTTGATTCAAAAAGTGCACATTACCTCAGTTGAAAATATGCCATGTACTCTGAAAATGGTCCCCAACATTGTCATCAACAATGCATATTCTCCCCCATTTGTTCCTGATTTGTCTTCTGTTTTTATCACTATTTTTCCCTTCCAAAAAATGTTTGACAACATCATCAAACCATCAAATCTTATGGGAAGAAAGGCAAGATTCAGTGTTAGAAGTACTGAAAAAATCCTTGAGATCAGAGAGTAACAAACTAGTGTCTTTATAAACTCAGAGGACTCATAACATCATTGCTAACAATGAGCACCATATTCCAACTTTCTCTGATTTTCGTGTTATTTTCTGCAATTGTTGAATAAATTTCCATATAAGGAAATGCACCTGGGACCCTTGAAACATTCCTAACATCAACATCAACAGTTAGCACCATTCTTCAATTGTTTTCCATTTTTTCTGCCATTTAATTGCTATTTTTCAGTTGCACAAATGCTGAGTGCCATATACAGAAATTTACCAGA